CTATTTGGAGTGAAGCTGGAACTCCAACCTAAAAAAAATTTGGTCGCCACAAGGATTTGAAGCTTGGACCGTTTCTTTACCACTTCTCGAGTTCAGGGGCCGCTCATCGAGAATGGTTCACGGTTTTGTAGTCCACTCTTGTTTCCTACAACGCAGGAAAACGTTGTGAAAAAGCGCTCCGCACCCTGAAGTACCTCCCAGTACAAGTATGAATGGAGAAAGAATAAGTTGACTTGGGTGGCATCCGATCCGGGAGTTGTTTCAGTGTTAGCGCCATCGATTGCCACGGCTGCAATTTCCCATTTTTTGTATATTATTTTTTAACCCTTAATCTCATTGAGAAAAGAAGTTAGGTTGTTCATTGTTTTGTTATGTTGTTGTTTGTTGTGCTAAAGCTCATAGTAATTAAGAGGAAAATCAATTATTGAAAAACGCACGTGTTTGTGCGTCTTTTGTTTCATTTATTGTTTTTGTTTGTTTTTTCCAAGATTTTAAGGTTACTCAATTTTTGAACTGCTGATTTCAGAACATAGTCGTCGTGAAGATCGATGCGACTGACGGTGATGATATCGATTCCAAGTCACCCTCTTCACTTCATTACAAAATCTCCAAAGGGGATCCGCAAAGCTTTTTTCGGATAGATCCGCATACAGGTGAGTGTTGTGTGAAGCTGGGACCCGATGGGTAGCTTGCCCGAGTTTGTCGTTTCGAGGACTTCTGTGAGCGCGCCAATGTTTCTGGTAACACAACTGGATGTATCCATAGGTTCTCAACTGAATAAAATATTCGTCATGATTATCTTCAGGTTACATAACAACGTCTGGATCACGCCGACTGGACCGTGAAACTCAACGTGAGCACGAGTTGTGGGTAGCAGTGTGTGACTCGGGTGAGCCTCAGTTGTGCTCGTCGGTCCCAGTTGTGGTTACCGTAGATGATGTGAACGACAATGCACCCACATTTACGCAGCCGATTTTCCATCACAATGTGCCTGCTGGTGTAGCGGGAAGAGTGAGCAGGTAGAATTTTTTAAAGGAATCTTCCGCGGAAAAAGCTCCGCCTCCATTACCACAGAAAAACGATACCCCTTAGGCCCCTAGCCTCATGAGCATAGCAAAAAGAACGGAACATAAGCGTTAGTTTCGATAATACTAATCCTACACACAAGACAAAATGATCACTCTTTCCGTGGAAGATTCCTTTAAGGTATCGTTTTCTGTGGTAATGAGGGCGGAGCTTTTTCCGTGGAAGATTCCTTTCTGTGGTAATGAGGGCGGAGCTTCTTCCGTGGAAGATTCCTTTAATTCATGGGCATTTTGGCAAGAATTGGTTTTTTTCTTTCAGGGTGTTTGCCAGCGATATTGATGCAGGAAAGAATGCCGAGTTATTCTATAACATTACCGATGGAGATCCGAAGTTTTCAATCGATGGAAATGGATATATCTCGACTAGTGTGCCAATGAAGCCCGATGAGGTTAGTCACGGTTCTCAGGGCAACAAGTACAGTTTGTTATCAAATCAGCATTTAAGGTTGCCACTTTGACCATCCAAGCGACTGATCGTGGCTTGCCAGCTCAAATGACTCAAACTCGAGCGATTCTGACAGCGATTGCAGCACCCCAGAGAGCCAAGGGATCGGTAAATCGCGCTCCGCAGTTTGCAAAAGGAGCGTCTCGGAAGGTCCCCGTTTCGGATGCCGATCAGGTAGGGAATTTTTATCTCTGCATTTTTTTTGCATATTCACAGTTGAGCTCTTTCCAGGTCGGCTTCACCATTGGCAAATTGGAGGCGACGGATCCTGATGGAGATACTATCTGGTGGAGTATTCTGAGTGGAAATATCAATGAGGCGTTTTCGTTGAAAGCAGATAGCGGCCTCCTGTTGTTGGCGAAACCTATAGAAACTCTTCCACAAAACACGAGTTCAATTGTTCTAAGCATTCGAATAAGTGATGGTCAATTGGAAGACACTACAGAGGTAGGGGTCTTATTTTATATCTTTAGTAGAGTTATCCGCCCTATCACGGTTTTGAACAGTTTCCGTAGAGGTTTGAGGCTTCTGTGAATGTTGTTTCACCTAGGTAACAGTGGAGTTGTCTCGATCACCAACAAGTCGACCGATCTTCTCTGCTCAACATTACAAGACGCAAATCTCCGAGAAAACAGCTATCGGTACACAAATTTACATCGTACGTGCCAGATCCAGCGACGTGAGTCGCACATCGAAGCCCCTGGTGTACGGTATTCATTCGGTTGAAGATACTGGCATGGAGGATAAGCTGCGTGTTGAGCCTTCGTACGTTCACATTTTCATTCGTTTGCTTTCTTTTTGTTATTTTTTTACTATTTGTCGGATCATTATATTGATTAGTCATCGATCGATACGTTGGACTATGAAGTATGTCGCGAAATACGAGCTATTATTTATGCCCGTCAAGGAACGCTTACCAGTTATGTGACGTTGACCGTCACTGTTACTGACGACAATGACAATGCTCCAAGATTCGTGCATAAAGACTATGTGGTGAATCTGCCGTCAAGGTGTGTTCTCTTTCACTCCGCTTCTTCGAACTTAAAGACACATTCCCCATCTAGTTCCATTGTGACTATTCCTCTTGTAAATGAAGTAGAACCGTCCGCAATCGCACAGGTTGTGCGGACTTTTGGGCTCAAAATGTGTGCCGTGAGTCTGTGGGCTTTTATCACTGCACACGCAGTACACGCCCATTGCTGCACTGCGTCCTTTCTCCCCATGTTCTTTCTTAACTGTGGGCTTCCCCGCCTTGGCGCTTCTGTTGTTTTAAGTCTGCTTTTTTATGGTCCCATAGACTCGCTGTTGTTTGAGGATGAGATTCTTCTTTTGAATGATTCCTGCTGTTTTTTTTTCACCTTTTTTACTTCACTGTCGACAAATTTGTAATTTTTTGAGCTCATACCCACCTCGAGTAAATTGCGTGATATGTGATTTTTGGCGCGTCAGTTTTCGGGTCTCCCCTAACAAGCCCACCGCGTGCGACGACAGGAAGAAGACGCCAGACGCGGCCAAGAACGAGGTTGCAGCGCATATGTATAGGCGCATATTATACATTATACGCATATGTAGCGGTTAGGCGTCAGGTTAAATAGAGAGTGCACCATACTACGTCTCATATCGCACAGCACGCGCTGCAACTCGTCTCTTTGCCGCATCTGCGTCTCTTGCTTCGCCGCGCGGTGGGCCTCTTGGGGGACACCCGATGTTTCGTACTAAAGCTCCAACTGAAATTGATTGATTTGCTTAATAGCAGTTGACAGAAATTTGATATAATGCAAGTAAAAAATAGGAGCCAATCACAGTTTCCAGTGTTTCGAGCTGTCAATATTGTGACCATGTCTCATGTGTTATGGGTGGAGAGTCAGAAAAATGAAAAAATTATTTCTTGTATTTTTTCCCTGAATCAGTTTCTTCGTTTCAGTTCTCCTGTTGGCTCTTCAGTCATTACATTACTAGCTCATGACGCTGACTCTGGTGAGAATGGTGTGGTGAAGTACAGCATCATCAGCGGTAAGCTCTATTTTCTGCATATTCCTGGTAATCGCTTACAACTTAAGCTGATGTCAGAGTCCGCGATCCATGCGACGGGCCACAGAAATCACAAGTGCCCGATCAATACTGCAAGGTGCTCTCCAATCCCGCCGCCATTTCTGCTTGATGGTGATGGCTGAATGACGACTGTTCATGATTCTACTTGTTTCATATTCAGTGTTTCAAATGTTCAAATGGGCACTTGCAATTTTTGCGATCCGCGCGAATCGCGCGAAACCTGCGACGGATCGCGGACTCTGACACCAGCCTTACATTGTTGCCAAAGCTTCTAAGAGAATTGAGTCAGCTTCCCGTGGTTCAAATTTTTGAGTAATCGAGTTCTGTTTCCAGGTAATGAGCTAGGCTTGTTTGCTGTGGATCCTATTCTCGGAATAATCTCCGTCGCTAAAAGTCTTCCTGAAGATCATAAAGAAACCATATTGACGGTGCGAGCAACTGATAATGGTCGCTATCCGCTCAGTGATACGTCGAATGTGCGCATCCAGTCCTTGAGTGGGAATGAGCTCGATCTACGTTTCTCGAGAGCCTTGTATCAGCGTACTGTCCGAGATTCCACGCCCTTGGGATCGGTTCTGCTTGTTGTTACGACCAATCCAAATGGAAATGCACGATACAGTCTAAAGCAGCCATGCCCATATTTCGAAGTTCACCCGGTATGTTCTTTTTTTGCTATTTATCAGGTCATTTGGAAGTATATAAGGGTTCCAGGCTTCTGGAGCAGTTTCGTTGACCCGTTGGTTGACTAGGGAACGAGCAAAAAGCGTAGCCTGCACAGTTGTTGCGAGGAATCGAGCTGGCTCCGAGGATACCGCAAAGGTGAGTGTTCTTCCCCGCAGGTAATAGGAAGCGTGGTTGAGATGTTCGAGATTCTGAGAGAGGTTTTAAAGAGATATCATGTCTCGCGAATGCGGAGCTAGGTTCGAGTCCAGTTTCTCATCCAAAGTATCGTCGAGCTAATAGTTCACTGTCTAGATTGTGATAAAAACGGCCAGTACCAATCAGCATTCACCAATATTCAAGCGGCAGTTCTATCGAGGATTTATTCGAGAAAATAGTCCAAGTGGTGAGTTTCTTAAGCTTTTTAGAGACTTATTTTAGGAATTGCTTTTCTTGGTATTTTGGGTTCAAAGGTACAAATTATGCTTCGTATTATTTGGCATAGCACTTTGTTTTAGGTTCTTCCGTACTGCTCGAAAATAACTCTCCACTGCTGGTTTCTGCAACAGATAAGGATGTGGGTCCCAACGCGCTCGTCGGTTACCGACTCCTCAATCCGAATGAACCGTATTTTGTGGTAGATTTCGTGACAGGAGCGATTCGCTCTAGAAAACCGTTGGATTATGAGAAGATGAAGGAATGGATATTTTACGTGCAGGCTAGGTGAATTTGAAATTTTTCAGTATCATATTATGTGAATATTTGGATGAACCACATGTATAAGGACCTGCAAGCCGCGCTTCTTTACTCTGCACTCTTCTTTTGTGATAGGAACAGGGCACCGTGAATCCATAGGTATTAGCGGCGCTTTAGACTCGGGGCCCATGCATGTGACTATGCGTACGATGTTTTCTTCAATTTTTGTCTCTTGCATGGGTAATTTTTCACTGGAGTGTAGGGCTACATAGGTGCGCCTTACACTAACCTCTATAAAGGAAGAGAAATGGACTTCTAATGGCATCCCTGGTAGTCTCCTAAGCACGTCCGGGATTAGACATATCTTAGCTTTTTCATCCTCATTTCGCGATAGGCGACAAGCGAAGATGTCGGCCCCTTTTGTGGCTTGGATTGCGCGACAAAGGGCTGAGAGCTCGATCATTCGTCACTGGCTCGTTCCGCAGGCCCCGCTCCGTTTTGTCGCCTGCTAGGTAAACTTGCGAAAAAACGAGGGTGCAGTTGGGGCAGCGGTTGCATTGCGGTCAATGCCTGGAGCAATTGGAAGATTCACGGAACTCACCCAACGCCCCCTTCTCTAACCCAATGTGGAATGCGGCAGAAATGGGAAAGGTCATTATTCGGGACGTAATCGGCGGTTTCTTTTGCTTTTCCAAACTACTGTCCACCTCAATCTTCATTAATGAGCGCTCCAACACACCCATTTTATCTCGGGGCTTGCTTTTGATTAAGTGACAAACCCGAAACATCAGTCAGTATGATAAAGTTGTTGTCATTCTTGTTTACAAGCTCATTTATTACGCTAGCCCCTTCCAGTGACATGGGAGAGCCGGTACGCTCGTCACCGATTCCAGCGATGGTACAGGTGACAGTGCTAGACACCAATGATCAAAAACCAGTCTTCACAAAAGCTAAATATGAAGTTGATCTGATTCTACCGACAGTACCGGGTGTGGTTGTGGCAAAACCAACGGCATTGGACAATGATACTGTGGGAAAACTGCGTTATACAATAAAGGTCAGTGGCTTTTGCAACATTTTTCGAAGTGAAATTTCCTACGGCGATTGAGCTCAATAAAAAATTTTCAGGGTAGCACGCATTCTAAATTGTTCTCGATCAATTCAACTGATGGCTCGATCATTTTGTTGAAGTCAGATCCAAAGTCACTGAATCTAGCGAAATATGTGGTGAGTTTGTTAGAATTTGGACGGTCATTTGGATACTTTGAGTGTATTGCCCTTGTGGGGTTCCAATTTTCACTGATCTCTGTAATGATTTTGAATCTTATTTTTCAAGAAAGCCAAGGCTAATCATAACTTTGAATTTTTTACCTCTAAGGTTTGACAAATAATAACAAGGGTAATATGAAAAATACGGGTTACACGATATGGTTTCGGGACCGGGATCCTTTTTCGAGCTCACCATTGTATGGCCCAGGGCATGCACCTATGTTCGTTTTCTTGATCAAAATGCTGAAGAAAGTTGGCGTTTTCCCTTGCTACTCTTGAAATTTTCATCAATTCGTACGTTTTCCATCTGTAACTATTTTTGGACGTTTTTCAGATGGAGGTTCTAGCGTCT